ATATTCACAGTCAACATTAGAAGACACATTCAGTATCGTATACTAATTATTAAATAAAGCTTTTAAATAGAATCGTCTCATAGTCAATAATTTAAACACTCTGAAAAAATATTTGTAAGATAATTTACAAGATGATTTAGAATAAGTCAAAATTTTTTTTTTTTTTTACTTTTACCAAAGTTTCTATTTTTTTTAAAAAATAAGCCTCTCTATCCTAAAATACCATATTGAAAAATCAACTTAATAAATGCGTAATCTGTTAACTTTAATAAATTGAAATTAAATACTATTTTGAATGGTTTAAATGTATATATATATTCATTTTGTAATCCTAGGACAAATATAATTAACATGCTTGTCCCATTTAAGACTGTTATGTATAATAATACCTAAATATTTAATTTTCGTCACTACACTTAAATTTTGAAAAAATATACATTCTGTATATTTAATTCTTTATTATTCGGTTATCAAATTACATTACTTAAAAAAAATGATGCATTTCGTTAGTCTATATTCAAAGTTCAAAGATAATTATCCAAATAATGCTTGATTAATCTTAATTCCCGAGACTTTTTTTTAATACATTATCCCATGTATTACTTTTGAAAATTAAGGAAGTCTCATTGGCAACCGTAACTATATCTGTATTAGCTAATTCTGATAAATTACAGACTCCATTTATTCAAAAAAAAAATGTTATGATGAAAAAAGTATTTTTAAAGTTACAACTGAGGTAATGTATATATATATATTTGTAGCAATTCCCATGTATTTCTAAAAAATACCGCATTGGTTCAGAATTTTTATCAATTCATCCGTTGTCCTGTTTGTGATCTGTCTTTTTATTTTTCAGTATTTTTATGTCTATCTGTTTCTTTTTTAATTGTTTTTTAATTATCTTTCAAAGTATATAATTAATCACTTTTGTTTAAATCATATTAATGTCCGATAAGCTAAGAATTATCAGCTTTATTGTATTTATTCAGTAGTAAAGGGAAATATACATATTTATATATACTCGTTTCTAAACTTCTAGAAGTGTGTGTGTGTCTTTTAGTCAGTATAGCGGCCGAAGGTGGGTGTTGGGTCGTGAGAGTCATTCACAATATATATCTAGTTACTAGTTGTACTAGGAAAAAAAAAAAAGAAATTAATTATTAATTTTTGTTTCCATCCTCGCTTGTATTGTGTATTTATGTAAAATATAACTTTTTAAATAAGTTCTGTATAGTGCCCAAGGCATTTCCAAACAACCTTTCGAGCACAACTGGATCAACGCTGAAAGATTTGTTTAGATTTCTAATAAAAATGTAGCTATGTTCTATATGCGATTATAAGTTACGCGATGGTTCACTTAAAAAAAAACGAGAAATTTCTTACAGCTTGTTTATTAGGTAAACAAGAATGCGAATAGATAATGTAGAATATAATTATATTTTCAGTATATGTTACATAACTTGTATGTTTAGAAAGCAACGTTCTTTCTGTACGTAATCTCACAGGATTTTGTCTCGAACTTTTCATGCAGAGTGTAGAAAGTCTGAAACGTTAAAATAATTATTCTATCAGGACTAAAGATATTCTTATTCTTCTTACATGATTTATTTGGCGTTGTTGTTTGAAGCGTGTATCTTACGAGCAGAAAGTATCAGACGTATTGCTGTCACCACGACATGTACAAAACTATATTATGCTTATTAGTTAATGTAGTAGCCTACACACACTGCTATGAACATGAAAGGCCCAGATTATCTTACATCTCCTTTTTAAATACTTAATATCTTCTAATCAGAGTAAGATAACTAAAATGTAAATAATAAATTAATAAAGCTAATTTTATAAAATAAGCTGACAAGAAGTACATAAGTCATAAATCAACGCATAAGAAAAATAACACTGTCTTAAAATGCATTGAATCATAAGTTGGGTTTTGTCGGCCGTAAAACCAATAATATCTCACGATTTTCGGTTGACTTAAGAACGTCGTTATTCCTAAATCCTCATACTAAGCTAACAATGGAATTCGATGACGAGGAACCCACTCCAGCCATTATTAACAATGTAGTGATATCTTTATAATAGTAAGATTATTAATAGTAAAAAGTATTCAAACGTACTTTGAACACTATAACCAATAATACCAAGGAAAAAATATATAGAAAATACATACAAATCATTAGTTCATTCCTTCAGATCCGAACAGCTTACCATTTCACGAAATTTGGATACACTTAATAAGCGTTCACATCCAACAAAAGGAAAAACAAATGATTAAACTAGACGAACTAAAAATAATAAAAAATTGATATTAGCAGCCTATATATACTGTACTAGTTAACATAACTCTTCAAGCTGTACTAGTTAACACAATTCCTTCCTCACTCTCTACTAGTTAACACAACTCCTCGCGGTGTACTAGTTAACACAACGCTGAGTTAAAACTTGAAATGTCCGCATGTTCTTACTTTCTTACATTATATGTGTGACGCACAAAAATTTATGTGCATAAATAGTTTAGAAAAACATGAGTGAAAAGTCTGTGGGTTCTATATGACCCCACTGGTAATTATAAGGTTAAATTACATGAAATTTTTAGCCTGTATTTCAGTAAACCATTTGTTAGGAAAGACCATTTTTTGTAAATTTTTGCTGTCGCTTGCCGACGTCAAAAGTTAGATTATGATATATCTATATAATGAAAGGACGTGTTTTGCATAAGACATCAGGATGAACAGACTTACAAAGCTATTTTCCAGTTTAATTTCAGGTTTTCATCTTGTTTTGTGCGTTTTTTCTTGTCATTTTGCGCGAAGCTGCTCGGACTAAACTTGTTACTTTAAATTTATCTGTGAAATTCCTCTGCCAGTTTGCACCTTTAGCATAATCAGTTCAGCTTGAGGTATAATTGAGGCGCATCTTTATCCTATTAAGTTGCGCGTTTTGAGCCATAAACTGTTAACTTGTTTTGTCAAAAAAACAATAAAATTACCTTCCACATCGGACCTTACCTGTTTATTGTGTCTCGGAGCCTGGCATGGCCAGGTGGTTAGGGCACTCGACTCGCAATCTGAGGGTCGCGGGTTCGAATCCCCATCCCACCAAACATGCTCGACCTTTCAGCCGTGAGGGCGTTATAATATGACGGTCAATCCCACTATTCGTTGGTAAAAGAGTAGCCCAAGAGTTGGCGGTGGGTGGTGATGACTAACTGCCTTCCCTCTAGTCTTTTACTGCTAAATTAGGGAAGGCTAGCTCAGATAGCCCTCATATAGCTTCACACGAAATCCAAAAACAAATGAATAAAAAAAATTTTATTTCGGAAAAAATATTAAATGTCATACATTAAATTTTTATGTATGTAGTGTGAAAGAAAAATATGACAAAGTTTTATGGGCTTTTAGGTGCACTTAAATCAAAGGTCAGATTCTCTATTATCCTATAATAATTTGCCCATGGCTAAAATGTAAAATAAAATGGCGTGTGTGTTGATTTTCCATACCTTTTTTTCGAATCATCTAACGTTTTTATGAAAGAATATCACGGGTTTGGTCTTTAATCAGTCCTTTACTATGGGCTTTCTACTTTTCAAGGTAGCTGTTTAACCATTGTTATGTTTTATGGGGAAATGGGGCATTTAATAAGTAGTTAAGATAAACTAATAAGTCTTACCAGTCACAAAGTTTGTTCTTTGTGCAGATATTACTACATATTATGTAATGGTGTGGTTTGTTTGTTTGTTTGAAGTTAAGCACAAAGCTATACAATGGGCTCTCAGCACTCTGCCCACCACGGGTATCGAAATCCGGATTCTAGCGTTGTCAGTCTGCAGACATACCGCTGTGCCACTGGGAAGCTCCACTCACAACACTAAAACAGAAGATAACTTTATTTACACATATCCGATTCCATTAGTTCCGAACTTTCTTCAGGCTCGAATTGACCCTTTAGTAGAGTTCTGAATCTCAGGGCTGACGAACCGGGTTCAAATCCGTGCGATATCAGAAAATAGGAAGCTGTGGGTTCGTTATAAGAGTGTCACTTAGCTCCCTAGCATGAATAGTGGGTGGTGGGGTGCTGCTGACTGGCTACCTTCATTCTAGTTAGTAGTTCAAAACTAGAGGAACGGCGGCAGATAGCTTTTCCATAAATACAAAATACAAGTATAGAACATGTGTAAACACAAGTAAACAAAACACACACTTGACTCCTACCTTTTCAGGAATTTCCCATCTTTGTTTAGATATTTTATTGTTTTCATTTGTATCTGCGGCTTCAACTAAAACAAAATATACGTATTGGGATTTATTTCTTATGTGGTTTATCATTTTTGCAGAAGACTTTTTAGATTTTCAAGAATCCTCCATATTTTTTTATGGATTCTCTTCCGTGTCAGAAGGTAGAAGAACCTTTTTAACAGGACCCCTTCTAGAACACATTTATCTTCTCCATAGGTTACGTTCAGTTATTTATGGATTTTCCATATCTCGCCATTATTTATTAAAAGGACAGAAAATTCTCTATCGGGTTGAAGACGTTTGATTCATAATTCACCACTCGCGCCACCTTTGTTTAGATTTTAGGATTTTTCATTCGTATTGTGTCTTGCATTTAAAAATTTTCTCTCTCTCTCTCTCCCTCCCACTGTATATATCACATTTTGAGAACTCTTTTATGTTTTTCAAGAGAAAGTTCCTCAAAATTTCTCACCAAATTATTTAACTTGTACTATATATATATATATATATATATATATATATATATATAGTATAATAATATAATATATATTATTATTATTATTAGTATATAGTATATACTACTATTACTATAGTAGTAGTTAGTAAAGTAATAGTATACTAACTA